TCATATAATCAAGCAGCATGAACTGAAAAAGAACATTTACCGGAGCTCTCCTCTCCTGCATCATGCGTGCCAGAGATGGACTGCCGGAATTGGCTAGAACCCTCCAGAATGGAAAAGATGTCTTGACTCGCCATGCCACCAGACGACCCTGCCGTGTGCTCCACGTCATCCTCCAACTCAATCTTCTCGTCCACCACTTTGTCCTCTGTGTTGAGACCACTGTCTCCAGCCCCACCAAAGTATCTACGGGGCTCTTGGCAGTGAAAGTGGGGTCGCCACGGAGGATGACATTCAGCTACTTATAGAAGTGGCAGGTCTTTGACGTAGCACCAGAGCGACGGTCTGACTCGCTTGCCTTCTGGTACACCTGCCTCAGCTCCTTTATCTTCGCACGGCACTGGTGTGTGTCCTGTTCGTAGCCCTTACCCAACATGCCATGAGAAATCTGACCATAGATACTGAAGTTCCTATGGCTGGAGCAGAGCTGAAACTGCACAACCTCCTCTCCCCACAGTGCCAGCAGATCCAACAACTCAGGTGTGTTCCAAGCAGGAGAGTGTTTGCTGTGCGGAGCTACTGTGATCAGCTGGGAAGATGTGATATGAGCTGTCCACACCAAGCAAACAGGAAGTGGAATTTCAAAAATTCCCAGGCTTTTTAAGGGGGCGGGATGGATGCCTATGTACCTGGATGCAAGGTAGTGGAGTTCAAACCACTGACCAGAGCTGTCAGGATGAGTGTTGTGGGACACCTCCTAGAGGCCATTTACAGTGACCTAACTAAGCGCAGTGTCTACACTGACACTTTGTCAATACAACTTTGCCGCAAAAAGCTCCACGCCTCTTGTCAAGGTGGTTTTATTTAGTGGGCAAGGCAGGAGAGTGTTTTGTCTGTGGAAGGAGCTTTGTAGTTTGTACACCTCCACTGTTTTGTCAATGAAAGCTGACTTTTGTTGATAAAACTCTGCAGTGTAGACAAGGCCTTATTTATAAAAAGTGGAACACCATTAAGAGGAGTGATTGAGGGCTTGTCTTCACTATGGCACTATGTCAATGTAAATTACGCTGCTTCAATTAAGTAAACTACGTAACTGAAGTCGACGTAACCTACATCGACTTACAGCAGTGTCAACACTGCTCTCCCATTGACATTGCTTCTGCCTCGCGTTGAGGTGGATTACAGAAGTTGATGGGAGAGCGCTCTCCTATCGACTTAGCATGTCTTAACCAGACTCGCTAAATTGATTCTGCTGCATTGATCGAAGCAGCACCGATTTAGCCCGTAATGAAGACAAGCTCCAGAATATCCCATAGACCAGTGGCTAGGATATTGCTTGAAAATGTCCGAGACCCAAGTTCAAATCCATTCTCCACATCAGGCAGAGGAGGGAATTGAATGCACAGTTCCCACATCCCAGGTGAGTGCCCTAATCACTGGGCTAAAGATTAAAAAGAGACTACAGTCTACAGCTGTTTTGTGACTCTAGCGACCTATTAAAAATGCTGGAGATAACATTTTGGGTAGAACATTCAAGCAGAAATGGATTTCTTCAATTCGCTAAATTTTTTTTGTAGCTTTCAGAATTGGTTCAACTCAAACCGAATATTTGCCGAGTACTGTGAGGGGAAATAGGCTTTGGCTTTCTGGATTAATTCTACTCAAATAACTTTATGCTTGGGAAACCAATGGTCTGTTGCTTATCCTGATTTGAAACTTTAGGAAGAGAAATACAAGCTCTTGTCACTTGGGTATTTTCTAAACAAGCTCATTAGCATAAAGCTAATAGATGAAATGAGCTTGATTTCTGGTGTCTATGAAATATGATTCTCGCTTCTTAGTTTGGTGTCTGTGTATTTTGACACTTCTGTATATTACTCCTGGGGCAATTTTGCGCTAACTTCTGGCTACAGCTCCCTGATTCTCTAGCCCAGTCCATGTTAGAGAAGCCTGAGGGCTTCTCTAACTTCAGAATGTGTAAGGCCAGAACGCTCCACTAGATCATCTAATCTGGTCTCCAGTATATCACAGGCCCTTAAATTTCACCTGGTTACCCCTGTATTGAGCCCTATAACTTATATTTGACTAAAGCACAACTTCTATCAGCTGGCAAGAGACCCTAGTGGATCATACGCCAATTAAGGATAGTAGACATGCTCCCTGTGCTAGTAGCTGTGAGGAGGGAGGCATAGGAACCTGTTATATTGGCCCTACACCTGCTGGGACTCCCTGTCCTTGGAAGTTCCCAGTAGGCAACTTGCAGGTGGCTTCCCCTCCCTTTTGACCCCCTAAGCAATTCAAAGGGAGCATAATAGGCCCACAGTATTAATTGTTGTCTCTTGATCTTTTGAAATGTTCGGCTCTCAGACAAAATTTTAGACATCCGCATTGCTTTACGTGAATTCACCCCCTTTGTGCTTCGGCCAGTGGCATTCCCAAGTGCAGTGCAAGCCATTTTAATTCATGACTGCAGCTGCTGGACTCAGCCATGTCAAATTAATACAAACTACTGGTGAAGAAACCTGAATCAGAGCCATTATCAAGGAATAGGAAGATGGAACGATCAGTGCCTTTATTATTAATGCTTGAGAGGTGATATTCTGAAAAATGAATAGAAAAATGTCATTGTGGAGCTCCATCTTTGTCTCAATGATTTCCAGCTCAAACTAGCCAAAATCATAGTAAAAAGATGGGTGGTTTTTTGGCAGTCTGCAAACTCATCCTGAGATGTTAAGTCAAGCTGTGTTCTCTCTGGCTTGTGACACTGGTAATGAAGCATAAATTTTGTAATCAGAATGTTAACAATTCTGTGGAAACATGAGGTGGCATAGAATCCTGTTGACTCTGTTAGTTGTGTTGGTTCTGTAGTGTGAACAAAAATAAAAGGTATCCGAGGGGTAGCCGTGTTAGTCTGGATCTGTAAAAAGCAACAAAGAGTCCTGGAGCATAAGCTTTCGTGGGTGAATACTCACTTCATCAGATGCATGTAGTGGAAATTTCCCTATGTAAAAGATAAATGGACACAAGTTAGATATTAGGAATGGCAATATATAAAAACCTGTAGGAGAACACTTCAATCTCCCTGGACACACAATTTTAAGCAGATTTAAAGGTAGCCATCCTGGAGCAAAGGAACTTCAGGACCAGACTTCAGAGAAACTGCTGAGCTTCAGTTCATTTGCAAATTTGACACCATCAGCTCAGGATTAAACAAAGACTGTGAATGGCTAGCCAACTACAAAAGCAGTTTCTCCTCCCTTGGTGTTCGTGCCTCATCCTCCCTGATTGAACTAACCTCATTATCTCTAGACTGATTCTTGCCTGCATATTTATACCTACCTCTGGAAATTTCCACTACATGCATCTGACAAAGTGAGTATTCACCCACGAAAACTTATGCTCCAATACATCTGTTAGTCTATAAGGTGCCACAGGACTCTTTGTCAAAAATAAAAAGGTTGTTTTTTAAAAAAAAAAAAGCAAAATAAAACTTATTTTTGTCTGAAAAGGAGAAATATACACAGGGAGTAGGTTTCTTTAGTAAATAGGTGCCATTTTTGTGTAGGTGCTCTTCAGACCATAAGCACACTTTTTAAAATTGTCTTGTTACTAAGATGTATATAATGGGCTGGATCACAGAAACCCCCTTGGGAACTGCCATCTGATGTGCCAAGACTACTACTGCCCCTGCTTTCCCTGCCAGCCTTGGAGTCCAGCACCCTGTCTTGTTGAGCCAGACACACCAGTCTGCTCCAACACAGACCCAGGGTCTGAACCACGTGCCCCAAAGCTGCAGACTTAACTGAAAGCAACTTACAGAAGTGTTCCTGTCTTTAACACTCAGATGCCCAAGTCCCAATGGGGTCTAAACCCCAAATAAATCTCATCAATTGTTCGCCCTCTATAACACTGATAGAGAGATATGCACAGCTGTTTGTCTCCCCCCCCCCCCAGGTATTAATACATACTCTGGGTTTATAAGTAAAAAGTGATTTTATTAAACACAGAAAGTAGGATTAAATGGTTCCAAGTAGTAACAGACAGAACAAAGTGAATTACCAAGTAAAATTAAAATAAAACACGCAAATCTAAGCCTAATACAGTAATAAAACTGAATACAGATAAAATCTCACCCTCCAAGATGTTTCTTTCACAGACTGGACGCCTTCCTAGTCTGGGCACAATCCTTTTCCCCCGGTACAGCCCTTGTTCCAGCTCAGGTGGTAGCTAGGGGATTTCTCATGATGGCTGCCCCTTTTTCTCTGTTCCACCCACTTTTATATATTTTGCATAAGACGGGAATCCTTTGTCCCTTTGGGGTGTCCCCCCCCCCCCAATGGAAAAGCACCAGGTTAAAGATGGATTCCAGTTCAGATGACATGATCACATGTCACTGTAAAAGTATACAGGAAGACTCACAAGTAAAACAGAGCCATCCACAGACAATTGTCCTGGTTAATGGGAGTCATCAAGATTCCAAACCACCGTTAATGGCCCACATTTTGCATAAATTACAATAGGCCCTCAGAGTTATATTTTATATTTCTAGTTTCAGATACAAAAGTCATAATTTATACAAATAGGATGACCACACTCAGTAGATTATAAGCTTTGTAATGATACCTTACAAGAGACCTTTTGCATGAAGCATATTCCACTTACGTTATATTCATACTCATCAGCATACTTTCATAAAATCATATAGAGTGCAACATCACAGTATATTTCTTGTTTAAGAACAATTTGTTTGAGAGTGAAGTTCATAGAAGGTAAAATTACTTGTTTTCCAAAATGTAAAACAATGGAATTGGGTTATGCTGGTCTTATACTTTTTTCAATATTATTACAACAGTATACCTGTAACAGAACTAATACGGCCTGATTTAAAATGCACATATTTTCTATTTTCCTAAACAAAGATATGTACTCTTGCAGGTTGTTAACGAACACTTTGTATGTTTGTTGATTCCTGGCTGGATTAATAATTTGCACCTCGTTTTCAGCTTCGAGCTCAGAATCAGGTGCTGAAAAAAGGTGTCGTGGATGAGCAAGCAAATTCTGCTTCTCTGAAGGTACAAGTTAAAAAGTCTTCTATTTAATTGCACTCAGTCTTGTCAAACTGTGTGATCAGATGGTGAAGTTTTGCAGATCTGCTTTGTGGTTAAGTGGATGTAGCTAATTGTAACCAAGGATTGATTCAGTAAGAATTTCCCATCTGCAACTATTCTGTTCCTGATGCGGTGTGGTGGGCATTTACAAAACAGTCACCAGGAAGTGTCCATCTGACTGTGTAAAAGGAAGAAGTATGCACTCACAGCATGCTTTGTGTAGACTTAAGGAAGCTAAACTCTTTTGCTAAAAACAATCCATATGTGCCTTTAGGTTTCAGAGTAGCAGCCGTGTTAGTCTGTATCCGCAAAAATAACAGGAGTACTTGTGGCACCTTAGAGACTAACAAATTTATTAGAGCATAAGCTTTCGTGGGCTACAACCCACTTCTTCGGATGCATATATGTGCCTTTAGGTTGTCTACAAATGAACAAAGCAATTTGTGTTGAATTTTTTTAGATTTTGTATAATTACTATTATTCCTTTGTGATTTTTTTTTTTAAATGTTAGTCACTTTTTTATAATGCTTGTGCTGAAATCATAGTGGATTGATGAAACTTTTATGCTAATTCAGGAACAACTGAAGATGAAGGACCAATCATTGAGAAAACTGCAACAAGAAATGGACAGTTTGACATTTCGAAATCAACAGCTTGCAAAGAGGGTGGAACTGCTTCAGGATGAACTTGCCTTAAGTGAAGCCAAGGGCAAGAAGAACAAGGTAGGCTTCAAATTAAAACAATTTACTTAAAGAAAAATGTCCTGGCTTTCCATCACTGGTCTTGGTTTTTATCAGCATCTTAGTAAGAGACATAAAACAAAGTCCTTCACTTCTTTTCTACCTTTCTATCCCCATGTATATTTTTGTGCCAAACTTGATAGCAGTAACAAATTGGTAGAGCATTGCTTCACCACTTGATAGTATCTAATAATAAAGAAATTTAATTTAAAATAAATGAACATACGTTCTAAAACAAGCAGTAGAGAATGCCCTGCATTTAGTGCGTATACAATACAAACCTAATGTTTAACTATATAAACTTAGACTTTTGTCTATCAACTTGTACCACACACTTTGTGGTCCCTTCTAACCCTGTGATTCTATGCAAATCTGTAAACTGTGTGGACCATGGTTTCCCATGATTTGATGAGTAGGAATATAGGATTCTTCTTCGAGTGCTTGCTCATATCCATTCCAGTTAGGTGTGTGCGCGCCGCGTGCACGATCGTCGGAAGATTTTTACCCTAGCAACACCCGGTGGGTCGGCTGTGGAGCCCCCTAGAGTGGCGCCGTTATGGCGCTGGATATATACCCCAGCCGACCCAGCGCCCCCTCAGTTCCTTCTTACCGCCCCTGACGGTCGTTGGAACTGTGGAGCGCGGCTTAGCTGATCTCCACACTCCCTAGCTTTTCATTGTTCTTGTTGTATTTAGTTATATAGATAGTTGTTCAAGTTAGTTAGTAGTTAGTGTATAGTGTGTATATATATATATATATATATATATAGTTGTAAGTTGTATCGGGGGTTTAGGGGGTGTTTTTCCCCTTTTCCCCCCGGCGCACAGCCGGGCCCATGCCCAAGGCTCCTGGCTTTAAGCCGTGCGCGTCCTGCGGGAAGCACATGCCAACTAGCGACCCGCATAGCTCCTGCTTGAAGTGCCTGGGAGAGACTCATCCAGCAGATAAGTGCCCTATCTGCAAGGCCTTCAAGCCAAGGACAAGGAAGGAGCGGGACTTTAGGCTCCGACAGCTCCTCATGGAGGCGGCTCTGAGTCCAGATCCTCCCTCGGCGCGCCCTGTCCCGGCACCGAGCGCTTCGGTGCGCAGCGCCCCGGCGGGCTCGACCGGTGCGACAGAAAAGACTGTTCGGCACCGACCGACGTCGGCACCGCGCCCGCCCAAAGAGCCTCGGCACCGATCTATCTCTCCGGGCCATAAGAAGACCGCTAAGACACGGGACGTTGTTGCCGCGAAGGTACCGGCTCCCCCGGTGCCGGGGGTAGAGCCGCGTCCGCAGCTGGACCGCCAAAGACAGGCGGCCACACCGTCGACTCCGGCACCGAGGCCGTTGAGTCCGGTGCGGACTGTTTCACCACCAAGGCTGGTGGTGGAACCTTGTCTCCCTTCCACCCCGGAGACCTTCGCTACCGCGAGAGACCTGATCGCCCTCACTGAGCCGGCGCCGTCGCAACTCCCGGCACCGGTAGCGCCACGTGTGCTGCAGTCCAGAGGGAAACCTGCCCTGGTGCGCCCACCATCGCCACCACAAGTCTCTCGGCACCGCTCCAGATCCCGAAGCAGGTCCCGACGCCGCTCGGAGTCCCGGCGCCGAGTGTCACCTCGGCACCGGTCGTACTCGCGGCCCAGATCTTCCTCGCGGCGCCGTTCAACATCCCGGCACCGCCGTGACGACCGGCACCGATCGGGGTCGAGGCGCAGCTCCCGGCACCGGTATGAGCGCCACTCGGGCTCGAGAGGCCGCTCCCGGTACCACGCCTCCTCCAGATCGTCGTCACGTTCCAGATTGGGATCCCGGCACCGGAGGGACTATCGGCACCGGTCCAGGTCCCGGCACCGTTCGCCGGAACAACGCAGGGACAGGTCCCCTTACGGTCGGCACCGATCGGCACCGTACCATCCGGTGCCGACGGCATCGGGTTCGGCACCGCCGTGGCCGTCGAGATCGGCGTCCCGGTCATCTGAGACGGTGGAGCCCGGCCACCTGCAGGAGACCGAGGACCCGATGCAAGGACCTGCGCATTGGTCCTTTTGGACTCCTTGGGCCTACCACCAAGCACAAGGAGCTCCCCTGTCGGCTTCCCGCTCTGGCCGTTCGGACACCAGGGCCCCAGAGTCTACCATCTCCCGCGCTCCTCCAAGGGACGTGGAGGCTCCAGTGCCCGCACCTGCAGAGGCCCCTGACCAGGGGGCAGGAGATGCCCAACACCAGGAACACCTGGAGCAGGACCAACCATTGGACCCCTTGCCACCGGGGGCATCTTCCTCGTCCTCTCCTGATGAGGCCGTAGCGGGCACGTCGTCCATCGGGCCGCCCCCGATAGACCTTCGGGCCCATCAGGACCTGCTGCGGCGCATGGCTCGCAATCTGGACCTCCAGGTGGAGGAGGTTGCGGAGGTCCATGACCCGATAGTGCAGATCATCTCAGCGGATGCTCCATCCAGGGTGGCATTACCGCTGGTCCGCACCATCCAGGCCAACGCCACTACTATCTGGCAGACCCCGGCCTCTATTCCGCCCACGGCCAGAGGGGTTGAGAGAAAATACTTTGTCCCATCCAGGGAACATGAGTATCTGTACATTCACCCCAACCGTGCTCACTGGTGGTTTCCTCAGTGAATGCACGGGAGCGCCATGGCCAGCAGGCCGCTGCGCCCAAATCGAAGGACGCTAAGCGCTTCGATTTGTTCGGACGCAAGGTTTATTCGGCTGGCGGACTGCAATTGCGGGCAGCGAACCAGCAGGCGCTCCTGAGCCGCTACGGCTTCAATATGTGGTCCTCGATGGGGAAATTTAAAGAACTGGTTCCCCAGGACTCGAGGGACGAGTTTGGGGCCCTGGTAGAGGAGGGCAAGCGGGTGGCATGCACCTCCCTACAGGCGTCCCTTGATATAGCGGACTCGGCCGCTAGGACCCTGGCTTCCGGGATAGCAATGCGCCGAATCTCCTGGCTCCAGGTGTCGGGCTTGCCTCCGGAACTGCAGCAGACCCTGCAGGACCTACCGTTCGAGGGACAGGGCCTCTTTTCAGAGAAAACAGACTCGAGGCTCCAAAACCTTAAGGACTCTCGAACAATGATGCGCTCCCTGGGGATGCATGTCCCAGGGCCTCAGCGCAGGCCCTTCAGGCCACAGCTTCAGCGGTTCTACCCTCCCCCGCCTCGTCCAAGACAGGACTTTGCTAGGAGGCGGGGTCGAGGTGGTAGGAGAAGGTCGACCGGCCCTCAACCCGGTCAAAACCAGGGCCAACCTAGGCCACCTTCTGGGCCTAGGCAAGCCTTTTGAAGGTGCGGTCGAGGACGGCACCTTAGCCACTTTCCAGGATCCGGTTCCCCCCCTTCCGGGATCGCCTCTCCCGTTTCCACCGTGCTTGGTCCCGTATAACCTCGGACCGTTGGGTCCTTCGCACGGTGGAGAGGGGATACGCCCTCCAGTTTTCCTCGCCCCCCCCCTCCCACTCCCCCTCCCCGTCCCTCTTCAGGGACCCTTCTCACGAGCAACTCCTTACACAGGAGGTTTTTGGGCTCCTCGCTATGGGGGCCATAGAGGAGGTTCCTTCGGAGCTAAGGGGCAGGGGGTTTTACTCCCGCTACTTCCTGATACCCAAGTCAAAAGGGGGTCTACGGCCCATCTTAGACTTACGCGGACTCAACAAATTCATAGTAAAGTTGAAGTTCCGCATGGTGTCATTGGGGACCATTATCCCTTCACTGGATCCTGGAGACTGGTTCGCCGCCCTCGACATGAAGGACGCTTACTTTCACATAGCAATTTATCCGCCCCACAGACGTTTCCTGCGATTCGTGGTAAACAGGGTACACTACCAATTCGCAGTCCTTCCCTTCGGCTTGTCCTCGGCTCCCAGGGTGTTCACAAAGTGCCTGGCAGTCGTCGCGGCCTTCCTTCGTCGACAAGGGATACAGCTGTTCCCGTACTTGGACGACTGGCTGGTACGCGGCCGCACCAGAGGCCAAGTGCAGGCTCATGTCCACATAGTGACAAACACTTTCCACGAGCTGGGCATTCTACTCAACAGAGAGAAGTCCACTCTAGTACCAACTCAGAGGATAGAGTTCATTGGCGCAATCCTCGACTCCAGACATGCCCGAGCCGCACTGCCAGACAGCCGATTTCATACCATCTTAAGCGTCATTCAACGTCTCAGGGCCTTTCCAATTACCACCATAAGAACATGCCTTGTCCTTCTGGGCCACATGGCCTCGTGTACATACGTAACCAGGCACGCCAGACTGCGACTTCGCCCACTGCAGGCTTGGGTGTCATCGGTCTACCGTCCTCACCGAGACGACCTGAACATGGTGGTCACAGTTCCGGCCTCGGTCTTGGCCTCTCTTGCCTGGTGGACGGATCGCACAGCGGTCTGTGCAGGAGTACCCTTTCACGCCCCGCAGCCCTCCCTCCACCTAGTTACGGACGCCTCATCTCTAGGCTGGGGCGCTCACCTGGGGGAGCACCATACCCAAGGCCTGTGGTCCGCGTCCCAACTAGCCCTGCACATCAACGTCCGAGAGTTGATGGCGGTGCGCCTGGCTTGCCAGGCTTTCCTCAACTTCCTACAGGGCCGTTGCGTGCTGATTCTCACCGACAACACCACGGCCATGTTTTACATCAACAAGCAAGGCGGAGCTCGCTCATCTCCCCTATGCCAAGAGGCCATTCGCCTGTGGGAATTCTGCATCGCCCACTCGATTCATCTCACGGCGTCATTCCTTCCTGGAGTCCAGAATACGCTGGCGGACCGTCTCAGCAGGTCCTTCCAGACGCACGAGTGGTCGATTCGCCCGGACATCATTTATTCTGTCTTCCAAAGGTGGGGGTTTCCCCAGATCGACCTGTTCGCGTCTCGGGCCAACAGGAAGTGCCAGGCATTCTGCTCCCTACACGGGCGAGCCCCGGGCTCTCGGTCAGACGCCTTCCTCATGGCATGGAAAGACCATCTGTTCTACGCCTTTCCTCCATTCCCGCTCGTCCACAGGGTGCTGCTCAAGATCCGCAGGGACCATGCACGGGTAATTCTAGTCGCTCCCGCTTGGCCGAGACAGCACTGGTACACCACACTGCTGGAGCTGTCAGTACAGAGGCCCATCACGCTCCCCTTGACTCCGGATCTCATCTCTCAGGACCACGGCCGGCTGTGTCACCCCGACCTGCAGTCACTCCACCTCACGGCGTGGATGCTTCATGGTTGAGTCGGACAGAGCGGCAATGCTCCCAGGCCGTCCAACAGGTCCTGCTGGGAAGTAGAAAGCCCTCTACGCGGACCACTTATTTAGCCAAGTGGAAGAGGTTTTCCTGTTGGTGTGAGCAACGAGCTACGTCTCCCGCGCAGGCTCCTATCCCCTTGATACTGGAATACCTTCTGTCCCTAAGACAGCAAGGCTTGGCGACATCCTCAATTAGGGTTCACCTCGCCGCCATTTCCGCTTTCCACCCAGGAGAACTCACGTCCTCGGTCTTCTCTAACCCGATGGTCGTTAGATTCCTCAAGGGCTTGGACCGGCTGTACCCACAGCAGCGACAGCCGGTTCCGACGTGGAACCTCAACCTCGTCCTCTCCAGGCTCACAGGGCCTCCGTTTGAGCCATTGGCGACCTGCTCACTCCTGTACTTATCCTGGAAGACAGCCTTCCTCGTAGCCATCACCTCAGCACGACGCGTCTCGGAACTCAGGGCACTGACATCCGAGCCCCCTTACACGGTGTTCCACAAGGACAAGGTGCAGCTTCGCCCCCACCCTGCCTTTCTTCCGAAGGTGGTGTCACCTTTCCACGTAAACCAGGATATATTTCTCCCGGTCTTCCACCCGAAACCGCACGCTACTCGTCAAGACCAGCGTTTACATTCTTTGGACGTTCGCAGGGCCCTGGCTTTCTATATTGACCGTACAAAGCCATTTAGGAAGACGACACAACTCTTCGTTGCGGTGGCCGACCGGATGAAAGGATCACCGGTCTCTTCACAGTGCCTGTCCTCTTGGATTACATCCTGCATTCGTGCTTGCTACGACCTGGCCGGTATACCGACGCCACGTCTCACTGCTCATTCCACGAGGGCCCAGGCCTCCTCGACTGCCTTTCTGGCTCAAGTACCAATCCAGGACATTTGTAAAGCTGCAGTGTGGTCTTCGGTCCACACATTTGCTACTCACTATGCGCTGGTGCAACAATCCAGAGACGATGCTGCTTTCAGGTCAGCGGTTCTGCACACAGCAATGTCTCACTCCGACCCCGCCTCCTAGGTGGGGCTTGGGAGTCACCTAACTGGAATGGATATGAGCAAGCACTCGAAGAAGAAAAGACGGTTACTCACCGTTGTAACTGTTGTTCTTCGAGATGTGTTGCTCATATCCATTCCAAACCCGCCCCCCTTCCCCACTGTCGGAGTAGCCGGCAAGAAGGAACTGAGGGGGCGCTGGGTCGGCTGGGGTATATATCCAGCGCCATAACGGCGCCACTCTAGGGGGCTCCACAGCCGACCCACCGGGTGTTGCTAGGGTAAAAATCTTCCGACGATCGTGCACGCGGCGCGCACACACCTAACTGGAATGGATATGAGCAACACATCTCGAAGAACAACAGTTACAACGGTGAGTAACCGTCTTATTTATACTGGATCAAACTCGAGTCCATCTGGTCCAGTATCTTGTCTTTGACAGTGGCCAATACCAGATGCTTCAGAAGAAAGTGTAAAAGAACCCTGAAATAGATACATGGCATGGGAATCTGCCCCCTCTGCAGGTTAAATCTCTGACTGATTTTTTTAGTAGATTTACTTAATCCCTGAAGCATGAGGTAAATATCCTTTCCAAAATTTTTATCATTAATTGATAATTCTGTATGGGTATCAAGAATATTCAAGTTGATATCTTGAGTTGATACAGTTTACTTAGAATTCTGTAAGGTGTATGAATATTTAATTTGTTCCCCTCCAGTGTGCATTAGTGTACATTTATCAACACTAAATTTCACTTACTTATTAAAGATGTGGAAAGGAAATAAGTATATTAAACAACATGGAACCTAGTACAGAATCTTGAGTCACCCCACTCTGAACCGTTTGCATAACTGACCTTTTATTCCTATTTGTATCTTTCTATCTCCTAGCCAGTTTTTGATTGAAAACAGTACTTTGACTCTCACCCCATGACTATTTAGGTTCTTTGGTAGCCTCTTCTGCCAGGATGGATTGACTTAAATCATCTGTTTTGTATTTGTCCTTTTTTTTAGTTTATTTTCTAAACAAAAGTTAATTCTCATTAGTTGGTAACCATTAAAACATGTTGATTTGCACCTGAATATAGCCTTTTCACTAAATTTGGTGCTTCTTTTTACTAACCAGGATACACTATATTATGCAAATTTATTTAAGCAATTATATAGTTTAATTTACATTTATTCAGCGTGTTAACAGTTACATTTTTTAAAATGGTGAATGATGCATTTCTTATTTACTAGATGATTTTTGTTTGACTCGGGACTTGTGTCAAAGCCTGTTTGGATGAAAATTCAGATTCAATTACAAATGCATAAAACCAGCATTTTAATTTTTGTATTGAATAAAACTTCTTAAGTGCTGAAAACATTTTTTTAAAACATGCTTTGCATTTAAAATTAACCTTTTTAAACAAAGGAAATATCTGTAGTTAATGAATTGAAGTGATTGTTTCTGGTCAACATGTCATTCAAGATTTTACAGATCGTAGAGCTCGCCCTCTCACAAGTAGTTTTATTCATAGATTGAAAGAGGAAAACAAGCTTTTCTGCTTTTTCAACTGATTTCTTAATGCTGACTGAACTAGTCATTTGAGCTGAACTAGTTAAATAAACTCAAATGAAGATAATATTTTCTCTGCACTTGCAGAAGAGGCTATTGCTTTCAAAAGTTGGTTTAGCACATCAACAAACTCTGTTTCCAGGTGCTTAGCCCACCAGTTTAGTGTTTGACTTCCTGTAAAACTTCACAGCAAACATTGCTTAGTATTTTTTTGTATTTAATTTACATAATCTTAATAGATTATAATAAATTTAGGCTTTACCTTATGCTGTCAGTTTTAAAAACCATTGATTTTTATCCACCCTGTCTTGTACGGAACCTCATCAAAGGCCTTTTAAAGTCTAAATGAACTACATCAGGTAGTTTTCCTTCATCTATTACTTTATAGACACCTTCAATGAAGTCTAAAAGTTTAGTGAGACATGATTTTCCTTTGCTAAAACCATATTGCTTAGACCTATCATACCATAATCTTCCAGATGTTCTGTTCTGCTTATAATTATCATTTCAACCAGTTGGCCAGGTACAGATGTAAGGCTTTACTGGCCTCTGGTTCCTCAGATCTCTCCAAGAGCCTTTTAAAAATATAGGTACAACCTTTCCTATCCTCCAGTCCTCTTGAACAGTGGCTGTTTTTTAATAGGAGCTTAGCCATTTCATCCTTAAGCACCTTCTTATCTTTTGGATGTATACAATCTATGCCTGTTGGCTTATCACCTTTCAAATTATTATTTTGCTGCAGTACCACCTCTTCTGAAACCTGAATTTCTGAGAGTAGCTGATCTTCATTATCAGAAAAGAGCAGGTCTGGGGTAGGTGTTTTCTCAGTGGTGAAATCTGATATAGAGAAATCACTTAGCTTCTCATTAGTGTCCTTATCGTCCATAATTGCTCCGGTGATTCAACAGACACACCAATTCTTTCACAAGCTTCATGCTTCTGATTTACTTAAATAATCTGTTTTTACATCTTTTGTTATTTGCTCCTCAAAATACATTTTGGCCCTTCTAATTTCCCTTTTACTTATTGCCAGGTGTGATTTATGGCTTCCGTCAGTTCAGACTTCCAAATTTTGAAGGATTGCAGTTTGGTTCTAATAGCCTCTCAGACCTTACCGTTTACGTTGCGTTCCAGGTTCCCTTTTTTGTTCAACAACAGGAATGAATTATGACACTCCATTATTGTTTAGTTAAATATCATCCATACCACTTCTTAAGGTTTTTACTTCCCTTACTTTTAAAGCCATTTTGACTAACTACATTTTATTGAAATCTTCCTTTCTAAAGTTCAGTGTCACTGTCACTTTTTGGTAACCTGCCTGCCCCAGGATATAGCATGTAATTGTGTTGTTGTCACTCTTACTCAATAGCTGAGCTACTGTCACTATTTGGATTAACTTCTGTGTCAAGAGTAGCCTCGCCTCGTCTACTCTAGTTGTTCCAAGAAGCAATCATTTAGTGTTAAGAAACTATTACTTGAAACTTTGTCCGAGTATGCCATTTCACCAGATTAGGCCTATAAGGGTTTACAAATGTTGTGACTGAATTTTTTGAGTAATGACTAACTTGTTTTGTGTCTTCTAACCTGTACAAATAATATATTTAATGCAATTTGTGCATGCAGTTGTCATTGTCCAAGTTTAGAGATCTGGTGCTGTCTTTGAACTTGTGTTTTAATACAAGTGATATATGTAGGTTGTAAGAAATATTTGGAATAACTGTATTTTAGAGATGTTAATCATAGTCTATGCTTCTATTACTGTGGAAATGTGACTAGACCCAATTTTAAGCTGTGTAAAGTATGCTTACATATTGGGAATGGGTGCCCTGTAAAACTGCATGCAATACATGGAAATACTTTTTAATTTTTATCAGAAAAGTGGAGAATCTTCATCTCAGTTGAGTCAAGAGCAGAAGAGTGTCTTTGATGAAGATCTTCAAAAGAAGATAGAGGAGAATGAAAGATTACATATACAAGTGAGTAATTCTCAAAGAATTTCTCTTCTGAAGTTAGAAAGTTGGTTATATGTGAACTGCAATGAAGAAAATGAGTAGTAAAGCATCCAAAAACCACTCTGTGGTAGCTCAGATCTCAGAAATGGCTTGTGAGAATAGTGGATTAAATTGATGTTTTTAAATGATCCTTTGAGGCATCAGACCATACTAACTGGCACTGCTGTGCATGTGTTTAAATTCACTTTGAATTGCAAAATGTCAGAATAACCTAATTTCTGTGTCAGATTATTTTACCCTTGGGGGAATTCTGTGCTACTGTGCAATGCAGAATTTTACAGAAATGAATGTTTTTTGCACAGATTCCGCCCCCCACCCACCCCTCCGAAATGGGCTGCAGTGCTGTTGGCCGCCACTAGGGGCCGCTGGACCTGGCAGGGCCCAGCTTGCACATAGAAGACACTGCTGGGGGGGGAGGGGAGGGGCAGAGGGAAGAGTAGAGGTTTCCTAGCAGCTTCAGTTCGTCACATGCTCTGAGTAGGGTTACCATACATCCGAATTTCCCCGGACATGTCCGGCTTTTTGGTACTCAAATCCCCGTCCGGGAGGAATTGCCAAGAAGTCGAACATGTCCGGGGAAATAGGGAGGCAGCATAAGCCAGGGTCCGTCCGGCCTCAGCATGACCCGCAGGGTCCGCAGCGCCGCCCAGCTACATTGTAGCGAGCTCGGGCGGGGGAAAGGGGGGGCGCAGCCACAGAAGGTGGCAAAGGGGCTGCTGCTGCCCCCGGAGGCCGGGTGGACCGTGCGCCCCAGCTGAGCCCGCAGGACCACGGGGAGGCTGGGCCCAGCCAGCGGCTCGGGCTTCCCTCGTGGGGCGGGGGGCGCAGGGGCTGCAGGGCAAGTGGGGAGCAGGGAAGCACTTAGCAACCCCCAACCAAGATCAGAGCGGGAGGGAGGAGGGGGAATGTGGGGTGCTCGGAGGGGGCAGAGTTGGGGCAGGGACTTTGGGGAAGGGGTTGGAATGGGGGCAGGGAAGGGGTGGGGTTGGGGCTGGGCCATGGGTGGGGCCGGGGGCGGGGAAGGGGCAGAGTTGGGGCGGGACCGGGGCCCTGTGGACTGTCCTCTTCTTTTTTTTTTTTTTTTTTTTTTTTTTTTAAATGTTTGAATATGGTAACCCTAGCTCTGAGGGAAGGAGACCGAGGTGCGCACTGCAGGAAACTGAGCATCAGACTATTTCTCCCTCTGGATCGCTGGGCTTGGGGTAGTGGGGAGGAGGAGGAGGTGGGAGGGGAGTGCGTGTCTGGGCTCTGGGGGGTAGGGAGGCTAGTTTGTGGGCTGTGGAGGGCCACAGTTGGGATCTGGGTGGGGGAGGGGTTGTGGTTGTCTTTTCCCTCTGGCTGGGCTCTGGGGCGGGGGGAGGCAACATACAAACAGGAACTGTGTTGTCAATAGGGGTTTCTTTAACTTTCTACTCCTGGGGGAATTTTTGTTTCTCTGTATTGTCACAGACATACAGTAACTCCTCGCTTAACGTTGTAGTTATGTTCCTGAAAAATGTGACTTTAAGTTAATCCAATTTCCCCGTAAGAATTAATATAAATGGGGGGGGAGGAGGGAGTAGGTTCCAGGGAAATTTTTTTCACCAGACAAGACAATATATTTTTTATATATACTGTGACAAAGCTCTGTCCTTGTCTCAGTGGGTCCCGCGCTTCCTGGTGGATTTCGCTAGCCTCAGAGGTTCATTGTGACCCCCCATGTAGCCCTTCACTCTCTAGAGGCAAGGGTCACAGCCTACTGAGCCATTTTCATCATAAGCCAGTAAGGGAGGTGAGGAGAAGCAACCTTCGCTCGCACAGTCTCTGTTGTCTCCCAGTCTTAGTGATTAATCTGGGAGGGGAGAGGGGGAGCCCAGGCCCGCCCTCTACTCCGGGCTCCAGCCCAGGGACCTTAATAGTAGCAGCTATGGTAGCTGACTTTTTTTGAAGTAGGACATGTACAATTCCCTGCGCCACTTCCCCACAGAGGCCTCCACTTCCTTAATATCTACTTCACTGTTCCCTCAGGACCTCCTTCTTTGTGCCTGATAAGGTTTGTACTGCTTAGTTCCTCCAACAGCGTGGCTTCCTCCTAAAGCTCCTGACACGTTTGCTCAGCTGACTAACTGGGAGGCTTTTAACTAGTTTCAGCCAGCCCCAATTGGCTTCAGGTGTCCCAATCAACCTAGCTATCTTCCCTGCCTTCTGGAAAGATCTTAATTAGCCCCAGGTGTCTTAATTGACCTGGAGAAGCTGCCATTTACTTATTCTGTTAACAGGGATTTGTTTAGCCTGGGACTAATAAAAAAAAAAAAAATATACACACACACACAGTATAAGTTTTAAACAAACAATTTAATACTGTACACAGAAAAGATGATTGTGAAGCTTGGTTGAGGTGGTGGAGTCAGAGGGTGAAATATTTCCCAGGGAATGCTTTAGTGCTGAATGGTGAACTAGCATTTGGCTGAGCCCTCAAGGGTTAACACGTTGTTAATGTAGCCTCACACTCTACAAGGCAGCACAAACGGAGGGAGGGGAGACAGCATGGCAGACAGAGACACACACCCTGTGTGTGTGAGAGAGATGCGCATTGCCCCTTTAAGTATGCTGACCCCACTCTACATTGCTCTTTTAAGTAGATCAGCAAGTTGAGACAGCAGCTGCTGCTAGCAAGCTCCCTCCGTCCTGAGCCCTGTCGTGTGTCCCCCCTTGCTCTATGGAGATGGGGTAAGCGGGGGGCAGGAGCAGGGGGGAGGGGGAAGCCCTGACATTATCACCCCACCTCACCCCAGCAAGCAGGAGGCTCCTGGGAGCAGCTCCAAGGCAGAGGGCAGAAGCAGCACATGGCAGTGAGGGGAGGGACAGCTGAACTGCCGGCAATTGATAGCCTGCTAGGCGGCTGCTGCACAAGGAAATTAGGGGAGTGGGGAGCTGATAGGGGGGCTGCCGGTCCACGCTGGCTCCAGGCTACCACCAGCCAGCTGCAACGGGCTGCTCTTTCTGCAAGAGGTGGACAAAGCAGGCGGCTGCCAAACTATGTTATAAGGGAGCATTGCACAACTTTAAACAAGCATGTTCTCTAATTGATCAGCAATGTAACAACGAAACGTTAACTGAGACGACTTTAAGTGAGGAGTTACTTTATTTGCTGACATTTATTTTGAAATAAATTACCAAAATAATTGAAACTGGTGTGATTATGTAGTGTTGTTTTGACAAATAAAATTTTCAGAATTTTAAAATATTGTGTGCAGAATTCCCCCAGGGTTATTTTTTGAAGCTGCTACATTCTGAATAGTGTATTAGAATACTGTGGACAATGCTCCTTTAGTGTTCCAAGATTGATAGTCCTCATGAGGCAGTCTGATATCTTGTTGAGGGCCACATAAGTAACTACACAGAGTAAAGCAGCATAAGAACCTATAGCGTGTAAAAATCTGCCTTCACTAGTAAGAGTCTATGGTGTCCATATGAATTGACATAACTTACAGTATTGGTGTCAAGGCTGCTTCCCCACTGTGAACTTTAGGGTACAAATGTGGGGGCCTGCATGAAAACTTCTAAGCTTAACTACCAGCTTAGATCTGGTCCGCTGCCACCACTCCCAAAGTGCTAATTCCCTTCCCTTGGTAGCCTTGAGAGACTCTTCACCAATTCCCTGGTGAATACAGATCCAAACCCCTTGGCTCTTAAAACAAGGAGACATTAACCATCCCCCTCCTTTCTCCCACCAACTCCTGGTGGATCAAGATCCAACCCCCTTGGATCTAAAAACAAGGAAAAATCAATCAGGTTCTTAAAAAGAAGGCTTTTAATTAAAGAAAAAGGTAAAAATCATCTCTGTAAAATCAGTATGGAAAATAACTTTACAGGGTAATCAAACTTAAGCCCAGAGGACCCCCTCTAGCCTTAGGTTCAAAGTTACAGCAAACAGAGATAAACACTCTAGCAAAAAGGTACATTTACAAGTTGAGAAAACAAAGATTAAAAACTAACACGCCTTGCCTGGCTGTTTACTTACAAGTTTGAAATATGAGAGACTTGTTCAGAAAGATTTGGAGAGCCCTGATTGATGTCTGGTCCATCTCAGTCCCAAGAGCGAACAACCCCCAAAACAAAGAGCACAAACAAAAGCCTTCCCCCCGCCACCAAGATTTGAAAGTATCCTGTCCCCTTATTGGTCCTTTGGGTCAGGTGTCAGCCAGGTTACCTGAGCTTCTTAACCCTTTACAGGTAAAAGGATTTTTGGAGTCTCTGGCCAGGAGGGATTTTATAGTATTGTACCCAGGAGGGCTGTTACCCTTCCCTTTATAGTTATGACACGCCCCCCCCAAATCACAGATAGTGTTGGACAGCCGGTTCCACACTGGCTGTGATTTCTTCCTGGAGCTCTAGGAGAAAACAGAGTTAATAAAACACATGCACCTTTAGACATACTACTGATTATATAAAAACTAACAATATGTCCCACATTCCAAGAACAATTTTTAACCAGTTGATTCTGGGAAACTTTCCCGGGAGAGTGCATCAGTCACTTTGTTAGAAGCTCCTGAAATGTGTTGTATTTCAAAATCGAAATCTTGGAGAGCTAAACTCCACTGAAGAAGTTTTTTGTTATTCCCCTTGGCGGTATGAAGCCACTGTAGTGCAGCATGGTCGGTTTGTAGTTGGAAACGCCGTCCCCAAATGTATGGGCGTAGCTTTTCCAGCGCGTACACAATGGCGTAGCATTCCTTTTCACTGATTGACCAGTGGGTTTCCCTCTCAGACAGTTTCTTGCTGAGAAACACAACAGGATGGAATTCTTGATCCGGTCCTTCCTGCATTAAAACTGCTCCCACGCCCCGCTCGGACGCATCGGTGGTTACTAGGAACGGTTTGTCAAAGTCTGGGGCCCTTAGTACCGGGTCAGACATGAGTGTCGCCTTAAGCTGGTTAAAGGCCTTTTGACACTCATCAGTCCACCGAACTGCATTTGGCTG